AAGATCATGCCAAATCGCCAGCAATCAAATCCAGCTAAGTGAGTTTGCGACGTAATGGGCCCCTGGAGTCTTGTCATCATCTTCACCACACCTGTGACAGCACCATTACAGATTCTGGGAGTGTCAACGTTTTGAATTTCAATCGGAATGAAACTGCCTCGAGGCACTCATCTGTGTATAAATGCACCGAGCATTGGCCTTCACGTTGAAGAAGAATGTGCAGAAAGAGGCAGTGTAGGCTACGAGTGAGTTTGAACGATTTAATTTACAGTTTCACCTCACAAAACCAAATAACTATGTTATTGTCAGACCAGTCTAAAACCTTGGAATATTTGCATTTCATTTTTCAATTGTCCAGATGTTGTTCATTTTTTTCCTTTTTTTATTATATTTTATTTATATTTTGCAGCATGCTTTGTTCAAAGAAATGTATATCGTATCGTGAAACAGATGTCTATTATATTATCCTGTAAAAGTTGGGTTCACTAATTCTAAAATGTTTAATAATCTAATAAAAAATTATATAATATAAAAAATTATATATAAAAAATATAAAAAAATTATATATAAAAAAATATAATATAATGTTGCATACTTGCAGCAGGTTATCTCTAACATCTTGGCTATAATTGATCACTTGGAGTACTTTGCAAAAACTGGTAACTTGATTTTGTGGGATTGTTTTCTACTTGAGCCAACACTGATATAACCTTCTGTTGACAGATAAGTTTATTAATAGGAATTCCTTTTGAGTATTGCATAATAATAATAAAAATAGCTGAATGTAAATTTTCACATGAAACACATTTTATTTATTTATTTTTAGCAGTTTTTGGGGAAGGCGAGGTACTCTGTGTGTGTAGCATGCCCCCCGATCAAGGATGAGACTTTTACTGATGGTTTTATGATGTTTAATCTTTATGAACCGTAATCCGTTCACCATATTACCAACGTAAGAGCTGAAATGTATACAAAAACATGTACTAATCAGCTAACATAGTTCATTCACATGCGGTCTTACATTTGTGCAAAAACTGGCATATAAACAGACAAAACGACCTTTATCAACTGATTTAACATACCTTTTGCCTCTTCGGAGGGGCTGCAAGTATTAATTCGAAGTTTACCACAGCTCCGTGTCAAAATAATTGCCGTATAACAAGCTAGATGCTATAAACTGCGCTAGACAAGAGAGTGCGCGCGCTTATCAAAAGGCAAAACAATGCGCGTAGCTGAAGACCGGAAGTTAACCATTTCAGTACCAAACTTCAAAATAAAAGTTCATCGCTTTTTCTGTAACAAAATACCCTAAATGGTTATTTACAGTGTGTAAGTGCCAAAAATTGGGTTGACGTCAGAACACAACGTGATTTTGGTTGGATATGAAAGTTGGGTTGACATCAGAACTCTAGGTGTCAGTGCAGGGGTACCAAAGAGTCTTAAAGGGATACTTCAACTCTGGAAAGATGAATGTGTATTTAAAATGGGTCATATGTAAAAGAAATATGAAATGATTTCTGAATTTGGAGCTCTCTAGACTGAGAAAAGCCAGATAATGATTTTATTTTTTTGGCTTATGTGGATGAAAGACAACAACTCCCAGAATGCACTTGCTTCGCTGCCCTAGGAGGCCACGCCTACCGGTAACAGAGTGCAGTAGTTAAACAAGTCTAGGCTACTAGTGAGTCTCAGTGATGAGTCTGCCCGTGAATTCGAGATCACCCAAAATGTCCGGGACTCGGCTTTTGCGATCTACAGTCGCCGTTCATCATGTTTACTGTGGCGAGCCGGGCCGCGGTAGAACGGTGCGAGGCCGGTGGCGTGAGTACCAATGAGCGAAACCTGTGAGACACACCAGTCACGTTTCTCACGGAGGAGCGGGAATTTTCTTAGCAAAGTTATACGCACATCAACCGATCACTTGTTTAGCGTTCATGTAAACACTACACCAATGAATTCAGTTAGATTGAAACAAAAGCTGCGCATGTAAACAGTAAATGGCGACTGCGGAAAGCAAAAGCTGAATCCCTGACATTTTGTATGATCTCGACAGCTGGACATGTCCAGGAAAAAGAGGATGGTAAGCCCTATTACTCAGCTTTCTCTTACTAATTTACTCGGCTTTCTCCACAGAGCAAGAGCCTGCTTGCTTAGCTTCCAAAAAAAGATGGCCGATACTATGTGTTCATTCTGTGAGTGAGATCACCCTCTATGGGCGGGTTGAGAACATGTTTGGATGAACTCTCTATGGGCGGGTTGAATTTTCATGTTTGGGTGAACTATCCCTTTAAATGGCAGCATACACGCATATGCACACAAGCATTTTGCCTGGGAAACATTATGTTATTAAACAGCAAACATTTATTGATTTAAATGCAATAACCGAGATCTGTCACGGCTGCTTTAGAAGTTTAAAACATAAATCCTCTTAAATACAACAGAATCATCCAATGTTGAACAGAATCACAGATACAATAAGTTTCATATAACATTAGCAGTCTATTTGGGATTGTTTTTTAAAAGTGTAAAACTAAAGGCCTCTAAATGTTAATGTGACAAATAGAAAAGTCTTAAGCATCTGGACAAAAAATAATGATGATTTTTGAGTCGTCTGAGGATTTTTTCCAGACAGAAAAAATACATAAATATCTTGTCTAATGGGGAAATGAGGGTGGAAAGCATGGTAAATACTACATCGAAAATATTACAGGTTTAAACCAAAAGCTTAATGCTAAATCCTGAAGAATCCCTTTAATCCGCCACTATCTGTATTGTAGCAAGCGCTTTAACACTAAAAGTGACTTGTAGGGCAGTGGCCGTCAAGGAGTGGAGTTTGACACATGCTTTAGGCTGTCACAGCTTTGATGAATGGCCTTCCAAAAAGCAATTATATTTTCAGGAGGGGAGCCCTCTGAGGCCAGTGGCATAAACGTAGTCACTATGCTAAGAATGTGTATTAAGAACTAGTTTGACCAACTAGCAGTTAGACAAGTGATTATCTTACTCACATCTCCCTGATTTATACATTTCATAACCAATGATCTAATTTGCAGGTTTCTTCCTCCCTTTCCTTTTAGGCGAATCATCTTAAAGGGTTAGTTCACCCAAAAATGAAAATTAACATAAAGTCATTAATTACTCACCCCCATGCTGTACCAACCCCGTAAGACCTTCGTTCATCTTCAGAACACAAATGAAGGTATTTTTGATTAAATTTGAGAGGTGGATCCCTGCTACATAGGCTCCTAAGGGTTTGAAACTTGACTGCCCAGAAAGTTAATGAAGAAAATGTTTAAAAATTCCATGTGACTACAGTGGCTCAAGTATAAGTTAATCAAGTCACGAGAATATTTTTTGTGCAAAAAAACAAACAAAAATAACAACTTTATTCGCCTATTCCTTTTCTTCCTTGTAGGCCTGAGACGAGAGTTCAATAGATTTCCACGACACTTGCGCGAGAATTGCGCTTTCCTTCAACTACTTCAGTTCAGTTCTCGCGCATGCATCGTGGAAATCTCTTGAATTCTTGTCTAAGGGCCAGACGGAAGAAGTTTGTCAAGTTTCGATCACTTAGGAGCCTATGTAGCAGGGATCCACCTCTCAAATTTAATAAAAAAATATCTTCATTTGTGTTCTGAAGATGAACGAAGGTCTTACGGGGTTGGTACAGCATGGGGGTGAGTAATTAATGGCTTAATTTTCATTTTTGGGTGAACTATCCCTTTAAAGGGATAGTTCACTTTGAAATTAATTTTTTATATGTTTTAGCTTACCTCAAAGGCATCCAAGATGTAAGTGTCTTTGTTTCCACAGTATTTTCAATTTTGACATTTTTCAGTCAAACCGTTGTTGTCTGCCAGTCATATAATGCAGGTATGGGGTCCACATCAAAGAGCATGCACAGGGAAGTCCAAATTAAACATGATTTATTGACTCGTAAATGTAAGTACACACTGATGGCCTAAGACACGAAACGAGCGGTTTGTGTGAGAAAACGTACCGTATTTATATCATTTTTACCTTGTGTCTCGTCCAAGTGATCTGAATCAGTTGTGCAATGTCCAACTGAACTGAACTGAATCAGTTCAATGTTACACCGGAAGTGATCCCTTGCGTGTGTACGTCACTCAACACTTACACGGAGATTTCGGAAGTTTTACTCACCAAAATGATTTCAAGAACTTTTTGGCATTGCTATCTTCTCACTATATGTTGTCAGATTATTACTTCACTTTATGATTATAATTCAAACAGTTTTCTAATATTGATAAAGCATACATATTAAAAGGAATACATTGCCTAGGCTATACATAATATAGGCACTTCCATGATAAAACCCCTGGTACAATGGAGAGGCTGGTGCTTTGAGTAAAATGATACTAAACACTGAACTCTGAACATGGACTTCACAGTGTCTTATTTCTGGCCTGAACAGCAAGAATCTCAACAGAAGAAAAACAAATATGTGAACAAATGCAAGTTTCGTTAAAAAAAAAAAAAGTAAATAAAAGCCTAAATTAAATCTGCTAATATAAAGTGAAAATTTCTGAAAATTTGGAGTAAACCTCTCAGTTCATATGGATTATAGTTTTATAATCTCTTTAACATTTTGAAGCAACAAAAAGTTGTTTCGGCTAAGGGCTTATCAAAAAAGATCTTCATTTGTGTTCCGAAGATGAACAAAAGTCTTAAGCTACAGGTCTGGAACAACTTGAGCTGAGTAAATGACTGAATTTTCACGTTTGGGTGAACTATCCCTTTAAATGGCAGCATACACGCGTATGCACACAAGCATTTTGCCTGGGAGACATTATGTTGTTAAACAGCAAACATTTATTGATTTAAATGCAATAACCGAGATCCGTCACAGCTGCTTTAGACGTTTAAAACATAAATCCTCTTAAATACTACAGAATCATCCAATGTTGAAAAGAATCACAGATACAATAAGTTACATATAACATTAGCAGTCTATTTGGGATTGTTTTTTAAAAGTGTAAAACTAAAGGCCTCTAAATGTTATTGCGACAAATCGTGCATTTAAAAATACAATGGGTAGAATTACAAACAGTCAAGTATCATCAAGATAAGAAGATACATGTGAAAAACTTAAAATATTACAGAAAACATCAACCATTATCAAAAATGATCAATAAATCTGACACATAATGTACAAGAGAAATCAATTACACTAAACAAGCCCATATTGGTGTGCAAAAAAACCCCACAAATGTTTTCACAGCCAACACAAACTTGACAAGAGAAGAAGTGTGATGATCGATACAGTGGATACAGTGGATGCGGCCACAGATGAAGATGCTGCGGAGGGCTGTGATGTCACAACTCTGCCATTCAAGGGCTGAACTCCTCTGAAGTTGTTGGTCGTCAGAACTGAAGGACCGGACTTGAAAAAGGTAGTTGTGCTGAAGCGGTTGATCTGTTTGGAGGAATAAATCACTTTTTTAATGACTTTTAGGTAACTCAGAATATGAATGTTGGTATCCAGTAATAGACTCATTTGATTTATTTTATGAATTACTCTACAATAGAGTTGCCTTGACCTACCAAGTCCTGACTGACTTTGATGGGATCTTTGAACACAGTCCAAATCACAGCTTCATTGCAGTTGGGTGTGGTAAGAGAGCCCTGGTACCGGTAATATTTAGTCGTGTCCACCCCTTCAAGCAGACTGTTCATTGTGATTTGATTCATGATGTCTAGTGTTGTATTACCTAAATATACAAAAAAAAGTCAAGAGGGTGTAAGGAAACTACTTGGCCGTCTTCAGTTTTGTGTTAATTTGTTGTTAAATCTCATCGGTTAAAGGAGTAGTTCACTTTTAAAAAAAAAATTCTGCTGATAATTTACTCACCCCCATGTCATCCAAGATGTCCATGTCTTACTTTCTTCAGTCGAAAAGAAATGAAGGTTTTTGATGAAAACAGTCCAGGATTTCTCTCCATATAAAGGACTTTAGTGGTAACCGAAACGGTTGAAGGTCCAAAAGACCTTGAACCGTTTGGTTCCCATTGAAGTCCATTATATGGAGATAAATCCTGGACTGTTTTCATCAAAAACCTTCATTTCTTTTCGACTGAAGAAAGAAAGACATGGACATCTGACATGGGGGTGAGTAAATTATCAGCATTTTTTTTTTTTTTTTAAAGTGAAAAACTCCTTTAAGAGAAATTAACACAATATGCCAAGTTTTAGTGGTGTGAATGGCAAGACTCTTCATACTGATAAAAAGATCCATTACATGCTTAATGTTAGAGGTTTAATTGCATAACATTTAATTGAGAATTGTGGCATCATGTGCACTAAACAGAAACAACCGATAAAATAGAACAACGTACAGGTCAATTTCTCTAAAATAACGCAGTGTGAACAAATTTAGGAAAAAAAGATTCCTGTAACGGATAACCCAAAAAGAAGTAGAAATTGTAGAAACAAAAGTGAAATCTTCAGCGTATTTGACGCTTTACATTAACTAACTAAAACCGAAAAGTGGTGATCACTCTTAACGAACAATAAAGATATAACTGTAGACGTTTGCAAATTGGTGTAAGAACACCAATCGACAGAAATAGAAAGTGGTACGTCGGCAACGTATAGTAGTGAACTAGTAGTAAATTCAGAATTAGGCCATTAACAAAACAAACATGATCAAGTGGAAAGACCACAATGACTATTGTTCGTATAACTTTGACCAATCAAGAACAAACACGAATTTTGGCTCTAATTATGGCTCACGTTGCACTTAACAAGACCTAATTACTAACGCCGAATCAGTGAAGACTATGATACTGAGATAGTTTTTGCAATACATCTCGTCAACCAAAGTACGAACCCAAAGATAGTTCGAAGTTGAAGATCACATGGAAAACATCGCTTTCACAGAATTGAGTGAAGTCTGACGCTGCTCACTATACGCAAAAATGAAAAATCGGTCAACATTGTTGTTCCAAAACCTTCACGATTTTCTTTTTTCTGTGGAAAACAAAAGAATGTTTTTCTCTATGATTTGTGCCTGATGCCATAGTAGTTTTGCACCCCAATGACACTCAGTGTGAGGACAAAAATAGTTGAAACATTCTTCAAAATAGCTTATATTGCGTTTTAATGGGGAACGCCATGAAGGTGAGGAGTGACAAAATGTTCATTTAACGATCAACAACAAACTATTTCTTTACCTGAAGCAGGGATCTGTTTCAAAAAGGATGTTAGGATATCCCAACCTTTTGTTTTGTTTGGTTCATTGGTTCCCTGTTGGTTAAATAAAAACACATAAACATGAGCATACCACTAAGGTTTGCGCTTCCCTCTGGATATGATAAACGTGGTCTTGCTCACCTCAATTAAGAAACCAAGAACAGCCAATGCTTGGTTGTCATTAGCAGCTAGAGCAGCTGACACACTCCCGCTGTATTTTGAATGGACATTCACAATGTGTAGCTGAGAAACAGAATCAAACGTATAAAGATAATGCATTTGGGATAATGCTGTGTGGAATAATGCAATGCATTTGCAGGGAAAATGAATAAATTCACACCTCCATTGGGTATTGTTTGCCATCCACAGTGTGTTCGGAGCCAGGTGAGGAGCTGCCGTTACCCCAGTGGAGATGGAATTGTTTAGTGTTGTACAGGCCTGGAAGATCACCTCCTTGCACTGCCATTTTCTCATCATCCAGGTTGACCACCACTGTGAAGACAGTGGACATTTTAGATACAAGGTCCAGGACATGGAATACAGTGATGTTGTGCATCACAGACTTTATCTGTGCCCAATCCACCTTATTTAACTTAAGAACAGACGCAGCTATTTGTAATTGCAATTTTAATGCGTTTCAGGGTTCCAGTATCATTCGCTTTAGGCTATTTTTTAACTGTTCAAATAGTTATACTGCTTGATATTGCAAAAAAAATTTAATTGAAAAAAAAATCATTTCATTCATTATTCAATTATTAATTTTTTTCTCTGTGGGACTCTGAGTGAGTTCACGTTATGCAACAGCGCAGCGCTTCAGTGTTGTGCGTCACACGCAATCACGCATCACACACGACTGGCGTTGGCCAATGGAGAATTTGACATACAACACAGAACCGCTCTTCCGTAACTACAATGATGGTGAGTAATTACGGACAGAATTTTCATTTTTGTGTGTACTAACCCTTTAACTTTAGTTAGTGTGTAATGTTGCCGTTTGAGCATTTAAAACATCTGGAAAGTTAGACGCTCTAAGTTCAGGCAATCGCCAGTTAACCAATCACAGCACATTTCGTGTTTTGGAAGGAGGGGCTTTAGTAGCCTACACCCTAAAAACGAAACCAAGACTTTGTAAAAAAGGCACAGAAGGACCCTTTTAAGTTGCCACCAGGGCCACATTAACAATAGGGGCAGCCCCGAGCTATAGGAGGGGACCTATGATTGGCTGTGGATTAGATTGACTGGACATTGGTTGCACCTAGACTTTGGGTCGATCGCCAAACCCCATTCTGCCCCTGCATATTAAGCACTGTTCTTTAGTGGAGCACCTGGAAACAAAGACCAAAAGCTAAGCGTTGGATTTTACCATAGGCTTTTGATCGTTGCAAAAAAAAAAAAAAAAAAAAAAAAAGCTCTGTGATCATCAAAAGTTGATACTTAAAAGGTCTGTTCATCTGTGGAAATCTCGATGGACAAAACTTTTATGTCACCAGAAGTACAAACGAACTACACCACTGTCCCACAAATTCAACATTACCATCATAAGCTTCCAGCAAATATTTCAGTTTTCATCTAAAAACATTTTCCCAGAATGTTTGGACTTAGAAAAGTTTATAAAAGCACAATCATCAGCATAACAATGTTTTATGTCCTTGACAGTCTCTGTAGTTTATATATATATAATTTTTTAATATTATATCACATATTTTAGTGGTTATCATAAAGTAGGTGTAATTTGAAAGCTTACAAACTCAGAATTCATCCTGTGAAAACCGTTTTGAAATTGGACATTGCGTTACCATTGAAACAGTATTTTTTTTATTAGGCCCCTCCCCTTTTGGGCATCATCTTTCATAATTTATTGTCAAAACCTTTTCTAATCTTGACAAAACACATTTTGTCAGAAAGGTCTGAGTCTCAATATTTAGTGACAGAAGTGATATTTGGATAGACATTTATTAATTTGTTATGGCAGAATGCATACAATTAAATTCAATGGAATTCAATGGCACCCGGTGGCTATTTTTGGTATAACGCCTACACAAAATCTCATGGGAACTTCAATTTGTGTGATATCAACTTTAAATTTGGAACACAACTTGGTTAAATATATGAAGAGTTCAGATGCAAACGCCTCTAAATGCCATTTGAAATTTTCTTCTTTAATGATGATTTTTATGAAACTTGTATATTTAAGTTCAGTAATTTCACTTAAATGCCAATGATAATTACCTATTAATTGTTATTTAAGTGAAATTACTGAACTTAAATATACAAGTTTCATAAAAATCATCATTAAAGAAGAAAATTTCATTCATAAAAATCATCATTAAAGAAGAAAATTTCAAATGGCATTTAGAGGCTTTTGCATCTGAACTCTTCATATAGCTTTCATTTTATAGTAAACATTTTTTGTATAATATGCATTTTATATTTAAAAATATACATTAATAAAGTATATTTGATTTACTGTACATTATAACTTCCATAACTTTTTCATACTTTAATTTTAAACTTAGGTCTATATTCCAAAGCATTCTTGAATTACAATCATTTAAGTTTGTAAAGTGCACTTTAAATGTCAATTATCAAGGGGGGGTAGGTAAAGGGTTAACTTGAAAATAATAATTGAATAATTAAGAGCTTTACCATATTAATATTGTTAAACAAATTTGCATATTCAAAAATATTGATAATTATTTGTTTCTGTCCTTAATTTATTCATTAATTTAGTTGTGTATTCCAATTTAAAGGATTTGGCAAAACATTAATGCGGAAATATTTGAGCCGGATGGGATGAATTTAAATCCCAGTCCAGCCCTGATGAATGTCCTGTTCTAGGGTCAGAAAGAAGACATTCTAATGATAAACATTAGCCTATTTAAGTAAAATCCTCAGGCAAGGCGTTTGCTTTGACGAAACCTGTTTGCTTTGACCTCATAGCTATTTGATGTTTGCATGTAGCCTGGAATATTTTCACATTTTATATAGATACATTGTATCTCTGTGTAACTTTTCAACTAATATATTTATACAAATTATTTCGGCGGTGGAAAACATTGTGTCACCAAGATGGGCTACTAGACGAGGGCCCTTGGGGTTGGCTATTTAGGACACCGTGTGTTATGCAGTCAGTGAGTCGTATGAACAAGAAGAGGAATCAAATAACATAATCCTTCCGTTATCTAACAGTTTCACAGATCTCAGTTTTGTAAACTTTTCCGGAGCTTTTTAATGTGAAACGTCTCGTGTTACCATCTCTAAGGGATTGATCGCTTAGATCGAGATGCCAATTCTTACGCATTATCAGTGCGACAATTTGATCGAGAGACCAAGCATCACCCATCTCCTCCTCCTCCCTTTGAAGAAATCTTCTAAATAAACGTTGCAACTTGCAACTATATTTTGTAAAGACGAACAAATTCTATAATAATACTTAAGAAATCCCATAATAATACAAAAAAAATAAAATAAATAAATAGGCCCTAATAAGGTTGTGTTGCCGTGTTTCTTACCAGAGTCGCCGGAGTTAGCGATTGACATGAAGGTGGAGTTGTCATCAAAACCAGTGAAGGTGAATGAAGTCAGTTTAGGATCACCCTGAACACTTGTAGTCTTGATATCAATAGGAGATTGCTTGGATCCATTGCAGGATTGAGGAGCAATTTGGGGCCAGGTGGTAAAATCTATTAAAAAATAAGATAACAAAATAATCTACTTAGGAACAAGTTTTATATATAACATTTTGCAATAAGCTTTATTTTTAACTTTTGTACAGTGGAATATTGTATAATAAAATCACACTTACTGCATGTTGGCTTGTGATAGCACCATGCTGTTTAGGTTTAAAAGGAAAGCGTTAATAAATACAACCAACGAAACAGCAGAATTTTAATCACTTAAAAAAAAAAAAAGGTTTCAAGAGCCTTCAATAACTAGGCCTATTTTAATCGGAGTAGCCTAGTCCTTTAACGGGTAAATGAACTACTCACCCACTGCAGAGTCCGCACTGTGGACGGAGGGACACAGAAGAGCAGCAAGGAAAGTGACCAACAAGACAGCCATCTAAATCAAACAAGAATTCATTACAATGGAAATTAATACAGAATTTAACCTCAAATTGAATTCCTTGAATTTGATATGAGAAACGAAATAAATCAAGAATAGGTAGTTAGTCTTACATCTTCTACTTGATTCTGTAGCTCTGCTGAAAATGAATGGCTTCTTTTCCTCCTTTTAATAGGCTACTCAAGCTCACCTGTAATGGGTGTGTCAATATCATGGGTTTCATCCACTCGGTGACGACCCATTCTGATGTGATTCCAAACGCATGTGATCCCATTATCACTACATTTATCTCTACTTTTGAACAGTGGCCTCGTTCCTTTCTTTCAGTATCATTTCAGTCAGGTTATCCAACCTGACCACGGGAGAAACCACGGGTTTGCAATCTCGGAAATGATCAGATGAATGATATCAGTTATTTATAGTCTAGCTAAATGCCAGTTTAAACGTTTTTTACTTCGGTCTTATTTCTTTAATGTTCATCTTTTGACGCTTCTCATTTTTAACACATATGGTCATCAGTTTATATCCAACTCGGTAGATTAGGCTATGAGAAAACGTCATTTTACGATGCGATTTCGAAAAATGAGCAATTCCTATGTTTCTAGCAAAAATCGGAATTATATAACATAAATATCAAATATGTATTTGTTCTGGTAAAATATCATTAGGATAGACAGGTGCTTTTGAATAGATGTCAATGGTGAAAAATGCTTCCATAACCGGTGGGAGTCATGACATCTCCGGGGTTAATGGGACCATGCAACTAGACAAACAAGAAAAACTTTAAGAGGTAAAAGTCAGGTAAGAGAGAAGGCAGTGCCAGTGCAAGAGATCACAAAGATCTTATGTAACAGTTATGGAACAAAATGAATGCAAATCCGTAGCTAATAAAGTGGTGCAAAAACGTATGAGATAATACGAAATTAAAAGAATTCGCCAAAACGTACCTGAGGAGTCGCTACTATGCACAATTGTAGGCTACATGTATAATGACCACTTTTGAACTGTAGGAGATACAAAGGTGCTATAACCAGAGTATTCATATACAAAAGCGTTTTAATTTCTCATGAGAGGAACCACATTGTCATTACTGTGTTCACAGTAATTACAGCAGCTAATTTTAAGGATAGGCAAAAGATTTCATAATACAAATGTGTCCCACCTTCGACAAATCCTATGGGTGTCATCATTTCAATTTAAGTCATGTACAGACTGATGCTGGGATGGTCTATGAAAACTCCTACAAATGTCTCACCCAATTCACCAACCTCTGCATGTCATTGTCATTATAACACCAAGCTTTCAAAACTGTGTATTCTGTTTTGTTTTTTTAAATCAGTACTAGCTAAGCTAAGAGGAAAAATATTATTCGTCATCCAAATCTGAAATCATTTCTCTTATTTTGCCAGTTTTAGTCATTCAGACATACAGAAAAGAAAATGGCAGGATGAAAAGGGGGACAGAAAAGATTCTTACCTTCATTGTCATGCGAGCAACACATGATTTTAGCTATGAGTCACTGTATCGAACAGTTTGATCTGTTTGAGTCTCTTGTCTCAACTACAGGTTCTCAAGAAATGCATGACTGACTAGTTCAAATCTTCCACATGATCTCTGTTATTGTCAGTGTCACAAACTGCTCCGAGACACAAAGGTTGAGATCCACATGCAGCTTTAAGTAATCCAAAATACAGGCAATATTTCAAAACACAGGTAGGCCAAAAACAAACAAACTAACATCAGATTCAAAAAGTACTAATCCAGGTGCACAGGCAAAAAAAAAATCCAAAAACAAGAGACATGAAACCAGGGAAAACACTCAGAAATGCAGTGCAACAACAAAACAAAACTTCACAGTGAGTGAATGGTTGAACAAGGTTGAAATAGGCTGAGACTACAGGGTAATGAGACACAGGTGAATGTAATTAGCGATGATTAGTCCACAGTTAGTTATGGGGAATGTAGTATGTGATGCAGTGACGAGAGTCTTGTGCCCTCTGGTGGCTCTCAGGGGCCTTATCTTACCTGGATTTGCCCATTCTCACTATTAAAGGAGTAGTTCACTTTAAAAAAAAACAAAAAAAAAACTTTTGGTGATAATTTACTCACCCCCATGTGATCCAAGATGTCCATGTCTTTCTTTCTTTCTTTGGTCGAAAAGAAATGAAGGTTTTTGATGAAAACATTCCAGCATTTTTCTCCATATAATGGACTTTATTGGTAACCAAACGGTTCAAGGTCCAAAAGACAGTTTCAGTACAAACTGCAAACTGTTCAAAGGGCTTTAAACGATTCCAGACGATGAACAAGGGTCTTGTCAAGTAAAACGATCGGCCATTTCAAACATTAATAACAAAGTTTAAGTTTTATAATCTTAAATGCTCGCCTGCTCTGTTCTGTGATTTGCGTTCGTGACTCTACTGTTCGAACTTGTTCATCAAAATGAACAAATCTTTTTTCGAGTCAATTCTTTCATTTCGTTTGTTGAAAGAACCAAATGACTCGAAAAAAGATTTGTTCATTTTGATGAACGAGTTCGAACCAGAGAGTCACACATAAAAGAGCAAGGTGAGCATTGAGCTTATAAACTTAAACTTTAATATTTATTTTTAAATGACCAATTGTTTCGCAAGACCCTTATTCATCGTCTGGAATCGTTTAAAGCCCTTTGAGCAGTTTGCAGTTATATTAATGTTTAATGCATATATTAATGCCTTATTCTGCATGATCATCTTCTACATCCCTAATATGGATATAACTTAACAACTACCTTACAAACTATAATAAGCATTAATTAAGAGTTTGAGGCAGAAGTCATAGTAGTTAGTTGAGAATTGGAGCCTATCTAAAGTGTGACCGAAAGTATTTGTATATTCTGATGACATACTTTTTTTGTTGTTGCATGAAACCAATATTGTAGATATTTAATCATTTTATAGAGATTTTTTAAAATGTAAAATGGACATATTTTCTGTCTGTCTTTTATGTCACAGCTCAAGATAGGCTCTAATAAAGGGTTTTGGACTGTTCAAATTCTTGTGAAGCTATCAGCCAATCAGTGAAGAGATTTGCTAAACAAAAACAGCCAATCAGTGAAACGATTTTTAAAAAAAAAACCACTGAGCAACTGCTACAAGATATGTGAATGATCTCACATTCAGACAAAAGTGAGGCTTTCTTCTGAAACTTTATCCACCTGTTTTGGACACTTGATCAGCGCTTTACACGCTATGTGATTTTATATTTTCACTGTAAAAAATGATTTGTCGACACAACTTGACTTGGTCAAGTCATATTGTTGCATTGTTTAGCCAACGTTTGGAGTTTTGTTGACTCAACTTAATTGTTTTTGTTAAAATGAATTGCAGTAAATTGCATCAATTGGCCTACCAATTAATAAGCATTTAGATTTTTTAGTTAAGTCAACTTAAAAACATATTGGTTGAACTGGTTGGATTTTTCATGTTTTCACAACCATTAGTCAAGTCTAATTGACAAAGTATTAATTTTTCCTCAAGATCAAAACTTATCTTTTCGAGTAGACTTCATTGCGTCCTTTGACAAGAAGTTCTATATGCCTACCAGATTTCTTATCTTTTTTTTTTTTTTTTTTTTTTTTTTTTTGATGAAATCAACATAACTACAAAATGTCAGCATTCTTAGTAGGCTATGTATTTATTTTTTAAATGGATGCACTGCACCCAAAATCAGACAAAAAGAATTAGCTTGCATAGATAAAAACATAAGAAGAAAAAAAACCTCACATAGGCTATTATCAGCTCACACATCTGCAAACTTCTTAATGCACAAACCCACTCTTAGACATAACTGTCTGTTTGAGAAAAACAATTGATCAAGAATCAAGAATACCAATGTTACACTTAAAACAATGAGATCTATAACTTTAAAACAGTGCAGCTAAGGAGAAAATAGTTTAGCCTATCTTATCTCAGCAACTTGCTCTTCAGAGAGTGGTGCGGTGCAAGAGTCTGAACCAACTCCAACAAAGAGGCGTTGTATCACTTCAAAAGTGAATTTTAATTCCTTTGGGTAGATAAGGTTTAATGCGTATAGGCCTAAACACTATTAGGTGTACAAAAGGCTTTGCGTGTGTGGTCCCTTTAAGACTTGTTGCCCTTTTAATTGATGACGCAAAGTGTTATGTGAGGAAGAAATGCGATCCTTTCCAAGGTCTTTGAAACACTGAAAGGTCTCTCAAATCGCAAAGCAACCAGAACGATGGACATCTTCAAAGAATTGAACTCCTTTTATTTAATGTAATATGTATACTGTATACCTACCTCCTTTATGTTGTGTTATGTTTCTTTTTTTATTTTTATATGTAATTCTAATGTTCTTTAATTTCATTGATAAGAATGTTAACTTTAATGTTTTATATTGCATGATGCGTTGGAATAATTTGGAAAATATATGTGATTTGTTGTTTCTAATGTATTAATATATAATTTTGGAAAGAAAAAAAAAAGATCCTTTCCAAGTTGGAGTGCTAAATGTGTGCTTGCATCCTGTAAAGTGAATTTATTCTAAATATACACTTAGGAGAAAGTTTGTTGTAATCTTGTATAAAACTGTTAAAGTTATTGAAACTAAATTCGAGTGTTTTATTGTGCCTAACTAACGATTGTTACATGTACGATCATATTCACATCTGCCGTCGAATTATGCGATCGTTTTGATACTGCAGTCATATTTTATGTTCCTGGGTTCTGATAGGTTGTGGGTGAGTGTTGTCCTTAAAGGGAAACTTCACCTCTGGGAAGATGATGAATGTGGTTTTTTTTTTTACTATGGGTGATTTATATGGTAGGAATGTGAAGTATTCTAGACTGAGAGGCAGAAAAGGCAGAAAATGTATTTTTTACTCATGTGGCTGAAAGATGACAAGTCCCAGAATGCACTTGCTTTGCTGCCCGTGCGAGGCCACTCCCAAACCACGCCTACCGGTTACAGGCGGCAGATTCCCAAAAATGGATACAGCTAGGCTTGCGTTGATATATCGGGAGTTATTTGATAAATTTCCATCGAAATGGTGCTAAATTGCACCAGGATGTACTAGCCTAATGTATAAAACTTAGACTTTCACATAAAAAAATGATGCAAGGCAGGACCGTGTCAACTTAGTAGCTCTGCTTATGAACTGTTTTCCTCCAATTGAAATCACTATTTCTCTAAGCAAATACATTATCTAGGCTAATCCATACACTACTAACACTATAGGTTAATAGAAATAACCACAATCAATGTGAAATCAACTT